AATAAACCCAAACCAACTAGAATAACCCAAATGAACTCGACATTAAACCCAGGAAACCTTCTGAAATTTCAGCAGCTAAAAACACCCAACAATAGCTTGAATAAACCCCAAATGACTTGACATTGAATCCAGGTACACTAGGAACTCAGATTAAACAGCTAAACTTGCAATCAATCTAGAAATCTCATTGCAACAGTATATTTTGGAGTTTTCTGTTGTTTTTTTTTTAATTTTTTTTGGTTTTTGGAGGAAACTAAGATCTAAGAGGAGTTTTTGAATTTAAAATTCAAATTTGAGCTGATGAATGCTTGTGAGAGTGGGGGGAATTTTTCAGAGCTCCAAAACTTGAAATAGAGCAGATATGCTGCCTTTTATAGGCAAAATTCGAAAACTCTCTCAGATTTCTGATTTTATGAATTAGCCCCTCAATTGTTTGCTTGTTCTCTAAGTTATACCTTATTATTTACTATTTGATCCCTTACTAGAAGCTTCTAGAAGGTTCAGGTAACAACTACAAGATTCTTTACCCTATAATTCCTAAATTACCCCTTTATTTGATCCAAAATTACTGAGCTATCCTAACTAAACCCCCAGCCCCTCCTTGTCCTAATTAAAATTCGACTAAAGACTAATTTATTCAACTATATCCAATCACCTAAGCCTACTTACTTTTGAGAACACTGATTTAAAGAACAATTACCAATCATGCATCAAAATAATCTAATACTGAACAACTACTGTTTTAAAACTCAGAATTAAACTAATAGAACGAACTTAGGACAACCGGCAAAACTTAAACATGATTAACCCTAATTTTAAAGACTCTAATCACAACCAATATTAATGAACCAATTATTACTGAAGACGAACACATCAAAAATCAAAGCAGAAGTTAACAGAATATCCAACAATTAAATGCTTAAACAAATCAAAAATTAAACTAACACCTAAGCATTCAAACATAAAAAAAATCAAGTTAAACAAACAAAGAACAGAGAAACTTACATTGTAGAAGATTAAATCACACAGGACCCCGATTTGAAGCCCGGAATGATGTGAACATTTGTTCTTTGCCAAGAACAAACGAACACATTATTTCGCGTCTCAAACCAAACTTGGGCCTAAGGAAGCTGGGACAGACTCGAACGATTGGACTTCTAAGGTTTTGCCGTCATTGATAAAAAAAATCGAGCTGTTTTAATGATGTTCAAAGGAATCTGGTTGGATATTGGGTATGAGGGAAGTCAGGGAAGGCTGTGGTGTTATATTGGGGTTGTTTGGAGCCGGCGCCGCCGTGCACGGTGGTGGCGGCGCCTAGGGTTTGGTAGATTTGGGGGTTTTGGTCGGGATTTGAAAGAAAACAAGGTTGTATTTGGGAAGAGGGGAGCGAGGGTATTCTAGGGTGTTATTTTGGACGGGAACGGAGACCGGCTGCCGTCGTGAGGCGATTTCCGGCGGCGGCGTAAGGCGGAGAAGGGCGACGGAGGAACAGGGTACGATGAAGACGAGTTTGGTCTCTAGGGTTTGGGAAATATTTGGACATTTTTATGTAAAATCTGGATCAATTGGGGGCCGTTGGATTAAAGAGGATGGACGGCCTGGATTGATCGATGCCAAACGGCCTCGTTTCGGATTAAAAGGGATGGACCGGGTGATTTGGGTTTGGGCTAATTTGACCTGGGTCTTGAGGGATTTTGATTTGGGCTGATTGAGAGACAGCCCAAAACCAACCGGCCTACTACTTCTTTATTTCATTTTTCAATTCCTTTTATTGTTTTTTCTTCTTTTCTTTTTGTATTTTATTTACTTATTATTTGTTTTCATTTTTGTATTTTTATGTTTTTCTAATTTTATTAAAATGCAAAATCAAAGACCTAATTTGTTTCCAAAATTAAACTAATTAATTCCTAAAAATCTATTAAATCGTATTTAAAAGCAAACCCATTACAAATTCAACAATTAACAATTAAAAAATGCAAAAATGGACTATTTTTATTATTTTCTTTAAATTTTGTTCTAAAAACAACTTAACCACTAAATAATACTAAAATATGAAATTAGATCCTAAATGCAAATGTCATGTGTATATTTTATATTTTTCATATGAATAAAAATGTACAAATAAAATGCAAACAATTAATAGAAAATAACAAAAATTCACAAAAGTGTAAAATAATGAAAGAAAAATTATTTTATTTGAATTTTTTGGGAATAATTCATATATGGCAAAAACACGTGCTCACACCGCCATCCCTTCTGATACATTTGGCAGTCTCATTCTCACTCTGTTAAACCGGGCGAGGAAGTCCCTGAGTCCCTCGCTAGGAGACTGCCTAACGGCGAGTATATCGTTCACCCTAGCCTCCGCCTTTTTAGCCCCTGCATGGGCGGTGACGAACTTGTCGGCCATTTCCTCGAACGTCGCTATTAACCGCGCCGACAGTTATGAATACCAAGTTAAGGCTCCCCCCGTTAAGATTTTGCCGAACTTTTTCAGTAGCACTGACGGTACTTGCTCCTTCGAAAGGTCGTTGCCCTTTACCGCTGTGACGTAATGGATGATATGATCTTCGGGGACTGTAGTACCATCGTATATCTTCAGGTACAATGGCATTTTGAAGGTTTCAGGAATGGCATGTGGAGCCGCTTCCTCGATGTACGGTTGTTCGACGAACCGACCAACGTCTCGTTTTGGTAGTAACTTTGGGGCGCCTGGAATCTTATCGACCCTTTCTTGATGCTCCCTTATCTGGTCGCAGAGTGCCTTGTTTCGTTTTCCATTTCTTCCATTTTCTTCAGAATGGCTGCGAGTGCATCATTACTTGCATCAACAGTGGTGTAAGTGTTACCTGTTTGAGGGACGGGCTGCTCGCCAGTGATCGTTGTGGTATCTGTTTGCGTGGTGTTTCTGCTCTCCCTTTGAACGGGTTTGTCGAGTATGTTGTTTAGAGTGCTTGTCAGCCACTCTTCCAGTAATTTTTTCACTGCTGGTGGTGCTTCTTCAGCTGTAGACGTGGAAGCTCCCCTTTCGCGTGAAGCTGTTACACTTTCATGAGGGGGAGGTGAAGCACTGCGCATGGGTGTAGCGTTTGGTGTTACATTCTCGTTATCTTCCCTGTCATCTTTATTGATGCTGTTCAAAATGTTGGTAGTGACGCCTGCTATTGCTTTCAGCCTTACATCTCCTTTTCTTGTCATCGTCAGTTCGCACAAACGAAGAAAAGATGGCTGTTTTTTTTGGATCTAGAAGGAACTAAATTTTCAACTAAAACCTCCCCACAGAAGGCGCCAAATTGTTTGAGCAAATGATAGCTAAACCAATTAATGATGAGTTAAAGGAGGTGAGTTTTACTTGAACTTAATAAATTCTAGACCGGATAAAATAGAATATGACCAAGTAACAGATTTGATACACTATGATTGACAATAAATGTAATGGTGTGAATATGCAATAAATGTAAGCAATAACAACAAAAGGTGATGAAAAGGGATCTGTCACCCAACTATCATATGATTGGAATGTCCCTTTTCTTTATCTGCGACGTGGATAAATATGAAGTTGGGATGATGTGGAATTTCTCGGTTTATAGATCAAGATAGAACAACTTATGCTTCAATAATATTACCGACCAATAAGACAACTCTTGGATATTCTTCGCTGTCAACTCTTACAATGTATTTTCTTTCTCCAAGTTCCGAAAAAGAAGAAGAAGATCCCCCTTTCTTTCCTATCTCTTCCTATTTATAAGAGGCATTCCCCGAAAACCCTAAAAGGTAAAGCATAAAGGATATTCCTTTGGAATATTCTTTTTGCCCACTTATGGACCTATACTCCCGTTACTTTCTCATCTTGGCTGCCTGCTTTTGATATCAGCCTTTGTGATAACGACCTTTAGTCGTTATATCGTGGTCGACCCCATTTCTTGTCTTACGTGTCCGTTACCGTGATCACCAAATTCGGACCTATAGAACCACAACACTAAAGCGGCAAGCTTCGTAAAAGAATATCTCACATCAGTGACGTTAATGATTTTAAGAATAGAAGTTTCATTTAGAATGTACACATCTCCAATTTGCCTTTTTCAAATGATTTTGGAAGAGTAGAAAGGATAAATTTGGCAGCAGGCGATGCAACTTGTGAACTTGTGATATTATAGTCCGAATTAACCTCTCGATTATTGGGTTGTTTATTTGAAGTTTGAACACGATGCTCCCTATATTAATGGAAAGCTTGTGTACATTCAAAGTTTCCTTAAAGAAAAATTCGCAATTAATCTGAATTATCAATGTGTTTACCCTTAAAATTGAATAACAATTAAACTTATAATGTGGTTTTAAGGACACGTGATTCCACCCAATACCAATTGATGCATGTAAAGATTAGTAGTAGAAATTGACAATGAGATAAAGCAAACCAGTGTTGACACGTAATTCAGCCCTCGAGCTTGAGTACCCTTGAACTGATCAGTACCTGAATAGTTAAGAAATAAGCAAACTGATGAACAAGGATATAAGCCAGACAGAAAGTATCATAAGCTTTGATATGCGTGAATGTTAGATGGATACAAGATGATTAGAACCCTCTTTATATAGTAGAGGAATCCTATCTATGGTACAATTCTAATTACGAAAGTAAATCCCATGATTAGCTAAACAACCGCCGTTGAATTGATCTGTTCCGAGATTTCCGCTATGATCTTCGACCAGTCACGGATATCTCGCCTTTCTGTTATTATATTGTACTTTGCTCGATGTCTGCCTCATTTGGTCTCGATCGCTACTGACCTCGATCTCGACAGGTACCTGGATCCTCGAACTCAATACCTTATCATCGCGTTTTGGTCTGATCCACTGCGGGGCCGACCTTTGATGCAACCGCCTGATCTCGATCAAATAGTAGAATCGGATAGGCCCGATTTTAACCGTATACACTGTGTTAATTTTTATTCGATAGGTAACTTCTTATGAAGTTTGGAGTATGATTTACATGTGAAGAAAAGTAAAGTGCCTATAAGCTATAACATCCGCATGCGCTAATATCTTTATTTTCATATGACAAGGAAGAAAGTAGATACCTAAAAAAGTTCATTTAGGAGCCAAAAGAAGTGACGAAGAAGTTATGGCGACTCCTTACACCCAAGTCTTTCCCCTTCCACGCCACCAACACTTTCCAAAACCGAACCCAAATTCGATAACTGTCACCAACGACCGTTACTTCGCGAAACATCCACTGGTGTTACTCATTGATAAATGTCACAGCATCAAGCAGCTCAAACAAATTCATGCCCGCATGCTCCGAATTGAGCTCTTCTTCGACCCATTTTCAGCTAGCAAATTAATCGAAGCCTCGGCGCTATCGCATTTCTGCAGTCTCAATTATGCCCAGAAAGTGTTTGATCAAATTCCTCAACCAAATCTCTTCTCCTGGAATGCGCTAATTCGTGCCTATTCTTCTAGGCAAGACCCCATTCAAAGTCTCTTCATATTTGTTAATATGCTTTGTGACGGTCGTGACTTTCCCAGTAAATTTACTTACCCATTTGTGATCAAAGCATCTGCCAAGATGAAAGCTTTTCGATTCGGGAAAGGACTTCATGGAATGGTAGTGAAGGGAGGATTTGGTCTTGATCTGTTTGTGCTTAATTCATTGATTCATTTTTATGCTGATTGTGGATGTTTGGACGCGGCTTACTTGGTTTTTGAGAATATGCAGACAAGGGATGTTGTTTCTTGGAATACAATGATATTAGGTTTTGCTGAAAAGGGTTATGCCGGTGAGGGGTTGAAGTTGTTTCATAGGATGGAGGATGAGAATGTGAAACCTAATGATGTGACAATGATGGCACTTTTGTCTGCTTGTATTAATGAGTTGGATTTGGAGTTTGGTAGATGGGTGCACACATTTATTGAGAGGAACGGGATTAGGAAGAGCTTAATTTTAGATAATGCGATTATTGATATGTATATGAAATGTGGGAGCATTGAGGATGCTGAGAGATTGTTTGACAAGATGGGGGAGAAGGATATTGTTTCTTGGACAACTATGCTTGTTGGGTATGCAAGGGCGGGAAATTTTGTTGCAGCAAGAAATGTTTTAAATACCATGCCTAGCCAAGATATTGCTGCTTGGAATGCTCTTATCTCAGCTTACGAGCAGAGTGGTAAACCAAAGGAGGCTTTGGCTGTTTTCAACGAGTTGCAGCTCATCAAGAAGGCAAAACCTGATGAGGTAACGCTTGTGTGTACCCTATCTGCGTGTGCTCAGTTGGGTGCAATTGATTTAGGTGGATGGATCCATGTGTATATAAAGAAGCAAGGAAAAAAATTAAATTGTCACCTCACTACTGCACTGATCGACATGTACTCCAAGTGCGGGGACGTGGAGAAAGCACTTGAGGTGTTCCATTCAGTCAACGTGAGAGATGTGTTTGTGTGGAGTGCTATGATTGCTGGCTTGTCAATGCATGGGCGTGGCAAGGAAGCAATAAGTTTGTTCTTGAAAATGCAAGAACATAAGGTCAAGCCTAATTCTGTTACACTCACAAATGTATTATGTGCTTGCAGCCACTCCGGGTTGGTGGAGGAGGGGCGAGCAATTTTTAACGAAATGGAGACCGTTTATGGAATTGTGCCTGGAGTGAAGCATTACGCTTGCTTAGTTGATATACTTGGCCGTGCAGGTGAATTGGAAGAAGCTGTGGAGCTGATAAGGAATATGCCAGTAACCCCTGGTCCATCAGTCTGGGGTGCTCTGCTTGCGGCATGTAGATTACACGGCAATCTTGAACTAGCTGAACGGGCTTGTAATCAATTAGTTGAGTTGGAACCTGAAAATCATGGTGCCTACATACTTCTATCCAATATTTATGCAAAATCAGGGAAATGGGACGAGGTTTCTATGTTAAGAAAGCTTATGAGAGAATGTGGATTGAAGAAAGAACCAGGTTGTAGCTCAATTGAGGTCAATGGTATTGTTCATGAGTTTATGGTGGGAGATAATACTCACCCTCTGTCGCAGAAAATCTATGCAAAATTGGATGAGATTGCAGCTAGACTGAAGTCTGTAGGTTACATTTCCAACAAGTCTCAAGTACTGCAACTTATTGAAGAAGAAGATATGCAGGAGCAAGCCCTAAATCTTCACAGTGAGAAGCTAGCTATGGCATTTGGACTTATCAGTGCGGCTCCATCTCAACCAATTCGTATCGTGAAGAATCTACGTGTTTGTGGGGACTGCCACGCTGTTGCCAAGCTTCTCTCCAAGCTTTATGATCGAGAAATACTATTGAGGGATCGCTACCGATTCCATCATTTTAAAGAGGGGAATTGCTCATGTAAGGACTACTGGTGAGCATTGGCGGAGGCAAGATCTCCGCTAAGGGGGTTCAAAAAGAAAAAAGTTTAAAAAGTTTGTAGCTAGTGGGAATTGAACCTATGACCTTACAAAGGATATGAACCCCCTTGACCACTAAGCTACACTTTTGGGCTGTATCAAGGGGATTCAAAACTTAATATTTAGAGGTAAAAAACAGATTTTGCCTTGTATATACAGTGTAATTTTTAACGAAGGGGGTTCGGAACCCCCTTCCCCCCCCCCCTAAATCTGCCCCTGCTGGTGAGTGTTAGACTTGACTATATAGTGAACTGTAGAGTGAGGTGATGTTCATTTTTTAATATATTGCCTCCCTGTGGAGCTAATAGCTCAGGTAGGGCATTTAGACGATTGGGGATGCATTGTAATTAACATGTAGATGAAACATGATGCAGACTAGAGACACCAATATAGGAGCTGTAATAAATAGCAATCAAGGTTATTTCATATGCTAAGTTTACCTCAATCCTTCAAATATTGGATGATTATTAACTTGCTTGAGTGCATAACATTCATGTCGATGCAAAAGTGAAACAAGAAAAGGAAAGTGCCAAAGAAGGTAAAGTAGCATAGGTCAAATTGTACTTTTGTCCCAGATGGATCTCTTTTCCCATGGAAGAGGAGGTTGGAGGCGGCTAGTAAGCGAAATAAGTCCAGTTACAAACTGTGAAGTACATTACTATTCACCTTTTCTTGAGCTCTTCACTTTCTTTGAATGAACTAAAGTTTTGCTTAACTTGTCTCTGATTGAAATGAGATCCAAAATAGCCCGCCCCATGTTCGTTCTGGCTAGTGGAGCTTCCTCTGAACAAGCAACTCCAGTGGTAAGAATAGAAACCAAGCACTCAACAATTTCACTTCTGAAGTCACTTCTGCAGCTGAGTATATCCGTAAGATCCCCTGGTTCTTTGTCATACAAAGCAGTTTGATCCACAACATCCATCACTTGACCAGGTAATGCATGCTTAACAAAGCTGTGAAGATTTTCATTCTCCTCAAATAGTTCACTGGTTGGTCTTCTCCCCGTGAAAATCTCCAATAAAAGAACCCCAAAGCTATAGACATCCCTTGACTTGATACTAGACCACCCATGCCATATTCTGCAAATTTTGATGTATCAGAGAAGGCGTTTCGTAGCTATATTAGAGATTCCACACATTTCTAAAGAAAATACTTCAGCAATACAGATCACTCGTATCAATTTTCTGATAAGGGAATTATTAGTTATGTCAAATACTCCAAAAGGCTGAGGCTTATTATTCTGGTCGTAAAAAAAATACGACTTGTCAATGTTAATAGAAGAGACGTTGTATGTAACAATAGCGCAAAAACAGGAAGTAGAGATCCGGTGTCTCTTAACAAAGTATAAAGTAGCACAAGTAAATTGTTAGTATGTTATGGAGATAAAAGGGGTTCAGATAATACATAGAGCAAGTTGTCAAATATAGTTCTTACCTGGAGCAGCATAACCTATTGTGCCTTTAATCCTAACAGAGCTGAATTGATTTACTTCAGCCTCTTGACCTGAGTCAGACAGGATTCTTGCCAAACCAAAATCGCTTACAAGAGCAGTCAGATTGCTATCCAGAAGAACATTGCTTGGCTTAAGATCACAGTGAACTATAGGTGTATGACATTGACTGTGAAGATACTGCAATGATGAAGCCACATCTATTGTGATGTTTAATCTGTGTAAGATACTCAATCTCTTCTGCGGCATCTCTCCCTCCTTCCGGTGTAACCACTCGTCTAGGCTCCCATTTTCCATAAATGGATAAACCAGAGCTTTGAATTCATTTCCATCAAAATTAATACTTGAGCAAACAGTTAAGATCCTCACCAGGTTCCTGTGCCTTATGTTCCTCAAGGCTTCGCATTCAGCTAAAAAGCTTTTCGAAGCACCCCTTTTGTCAAGTTTAAGTACCTTTACTGCAATAATTGTTCCTTCTTGAGAATGGCTTCCTCTGTATACAGAGCCAAAACTTCCTGATCCTATCAAGTTATTTGAAGAGAACCCACCAGTTGATTTTAAGAGATCATCATAGGAAACTCTTGTGTATCCTTCCCCAACAGAAGATGTTGAGCTAGGCCTCTGCTTCACTTTTTGCTTGCAGCAAAGTAGAAGTAGCAGCAATAAAGTTAAGCATGCAGCAATAGCACAAAGAGTCAGTGCTATAATGAGGGCAACGTGCTTCTTCGGTCTTTTATTTGCTTGGTTGAGTCATGGATGCAGATGCAGCTGTTTGATTCTCCCACAAAGATTTATATTTCCCATAATTTGAACTCTTCTTGCATCAGAAAAACACCTTGAACCGGCACCTCTCCATCAAGATGGTTAAATGACAAGTTGAGATTCTGTAAAGAGAAATGCTGGGCAATACTGTTGGGAATGTTGCCTGACAAGTTATTACGGGAAAGATCAAGATACAGAATGTTTTTCAAATTATTCAGAGGAGGAATTGTTCCTTCAAAGAGGTTTCCTTGCATGAAGAGTACTTCAAGGGATGAACAACTGTCCAGTGTGTGTGGAATTTCACCAGATAATTTGTTGTTTGATATGTCAAGTGCAGCAAGATTGGTCAGATTACCTATTTCCACAGGCAAGGGACCACTCAGAGAGTTATAAAGCATGTTAAGGAGTACCGAAAAGGAGGAGAGTGCTACGACTTGTTTTGATACACTACCAATAAGTCTATTCTGGGAAATGTCTTAGGTTTGGAGAGATGTACAATTTCCTAAACTTGAAGGTATGGTTCCTTCCAAGCTATTGTTCTGCAAATGAATGCGCATCAATCCTGTGATGTTTCCCAAGGAAGAGGGGATATTTCCTGTCAACTGATTTGATTCCATGTGGAGATTTTTCAAGTTTGACAACATTCCAATAGAATCAGGAATGCTACCATTGATAAGAGTTCCTTTGATGTTAAGCACATCCAAATTGACAAGGTTGGAGATCTCTCTAGGTATGGTTCCACTTATCCTGTTGTTCCCAATCAGTAGCTTTGTCAACGTTGTCGAGAGATTAGTTATAGAGTAAGGCAAAATACCTCCAAATTTGTTGTCAGCAATGTCCAGGAACTCAAGCTTTCTGCAACTGGTCAAAGCATTCATGAAATTTAGATCATCAGGTGCACCACTTCCAAGCTGGTTACTGCGAACATTAAGCCAGAGCAGATTCTTGAGGTTGCCAAAACTCAATGGTATATTTCCCGTAAAATTGTTCGTAGGAATATCAATCCGCAGAAGATCTGAACAATTGGACAATGAAGCTGGTATTGAACCAGTGAAGTAATTGTTGGCCAAATACAGATTCTGAAGATTTGGGAAGGCAAGGCCAATATCTGGTCTAAGACTACCTCTAAACTTGTTAAATGACAAGCTTATGTGTATAAGAGACGAAAGGTTACAAAGTGCAGGGGGAAACTCTCCAGACAGAGTGTTGACTGATGCACCAAAACTTGTTAAGCTTCGCATATTGGCCATTGTATCAGGTAATTCACCTACCAAGTCATTGTAGGAAATGTAAAGCTCTCTCAGAGATGTAAGATTTCCAATAGAAGATGGAACATTTCCTGTGAAATTGTTATTCTTGAGGTATAACATTTCCAGCTTTGTCAATGAACCAACTTCATCAGGAATGTGTCCTTCAATGCTATTATGGTCTACAACAAGGTTAACAATGTTAACACAACGAGACAGGGTTAACGGAATTTCACCTCCGATGAAGTTGAAGCTTAAGTTTAAGGTTTGAAGTCTGATCAATTGGCCAATTTCTGGAGGGATTATACCATGTAAGGAGTTGTCTGACATATCAAGAATTCGGAGAAATGAAAGATTGCCAATGCTAGGTGATATACTGCCAGCCAATCTATGGCCATTGAGATTTAAAGAAATGACCCTTTGATGTTTATGGCCACATGTAACACCAGGCCACTTACAGACATTGAGAGTGGCATTCCAAGAATCCATGAGTCCTTGAGGATCTTCAATTATTTTGGACTTAAATTCAAGCAATGCAAGTTTGTCTGACTGATTCCCAAGTATGCTTGCTGACGCATACTGTGGAAAAGATAAGTATAGAAATATGAAGAGAATAGCATGGAATGACAGAAAGAAGAGAGAGCTTAAACGAACAAAACTAGTTTGAAGCTCCATTAGGGAATTGGGAATGCTAGGTGATAGGTGAAAAGGAGAGGAAATGATGGTGGGATACGACTGAGTGGCATTTGATTCTGCAATTTATAATGAGTTCACTATGCCTTCCGTAAGAGTACCAAATTGTTTGAAATAGGATCAGTGTATAGATTCTTATTCACTATATGTGTAATTTAACCTATTATATTAGGTTAAATGGAGTACCATTTTATTCAGGTTACCAATAAATGTTTATCATAACGACTTACTACATGTTACTATCTTATAAGTGACCTATTGTTTAGTTGGTTTATACAACTTAAACTGAATAAAAGAGAAAGACACTGAGAAGGAAAAAGAACTTCCTTAACGAATCTGCAGTAAAAATAAGGCTGGAGGTTTGCGGATAAAAAATGGTACCACCCTTGAGTCAAAGTATGTCCATTGACTTTAAGTAGTCTGCAATCGTAGACTTTGTAGTCAAACGTCTCTCTCTTTAAGAGGAAAGGAAAACAACAAAGAGTCACTTATATAGTTTGTCTCACCTTTTTATGTTCAAGGAATGGCAGCCAATGAATTCAGTGGATCTTTGAATTATGACTTAAGAAAGTGAGCTTTCCTGATCTCTACGGCACTACTAAATAGAGAAGAAGGGGAAGGGAAAGTAGAGGAGGGATTGCCATATTGGTGTTGGGATATATACTATTAACCATGAGTTTGATTTAGATATAGTATTTATTATGGAATAATTATTTATTCAATTTTAATAAAGTTTTAAATAGATCATATATTAGTTTGTGTCCTTTCTTTATATAGTAGATAATTTAGTGTATAGAGTTTAGCTTATACACGGAAGATTAAATCGTCGATTCTTATAAGTATAAAGTTTGAGTTCACAATCTAATGATGGAATTGGACAAACCATCATGGATGATTGTAGCACAAGATTAAATATAATTTATCTTGATTATGAGAATGGTTTAATTCCAACTTCTTGTGCTAGTACATTTTGTATGTATTGAACAGACCAAGTAGAGATAAGTATTTTATACTGACTTAATAAAATAAACTTTCTAGCCATTAAATGTACTTATACTCTTAATCTTGATATAATTATTATTAGTTGTGTACATTATTATTATTTAATTTATTAAACGGCGAAATTCTTTCATGGGTCAATATGCTTGGTAAATTGGATAATAATAATGTACATTAGCGAAGTAATAGTTAGTTGATGGAATCCATGTCTCGGTTTAGAGATTGATGATACACATTTATGAAAGCTTATAAGTTTTCTTGTGTAAACTCGGCCGATGGAATTTGTATCCGACACATGAAATAAGTTAAGCGAAAGTCTAAATAAAATAATCAATAAATTAAATCGTCAGTAATTTAATTTAGTTGATTAGAATCTAAATCTTAACATAGGGAGTTAAATAAGATTTAATGGATGAATTTCAAAATTGAATAATGAGTGTAAATACGAATTTTTCGTGGAATAATTCGTAATTAATTATGGTGGATATTAATTTTAAAAATTATAAATTAATTCCATAATAGGAAGTCTTGTTAATTAAATTATGTGGTCCCTGCTGTGCCTAAATAATAGAAAATAAAGAAATCCTTCTTCTGGTGGAAAAAAAAACCCAACAGGTTTTGAAAAGGGGTTTTGACACAGTTACCCACAAAAAAATAAAACTATTAACCCTTGTCTACCCATTTGTTTTTCTACCCATAAATAATTATATTTCCTACCCATAGTAGTTTTTGTTGGGGATTTTTTCTTTATTCTCCAATTCTTTTTTATTTCTATGCTTCTTTTCTTCTTTTTTTTTCTTNAATACGAAACTCGTTACCATTTAATAGAGTTAAATTATCAGTTAAACATGATTCCATTACGTGATAATAGATAAAAACAGTGCGGAAAACCATAACAAGTACCAATACAACTCCCAACAGATCTGGTATCACGAGTCTAGAGCCTCTAAATACAGCTGAGTAGCAAAATTTATACATATGAGAGTCTAGGATGCGGAAAACAAAAAAAAAGGATAAGGGGAGAAATCGGGTCCTGCGGACGCCAGGCAGCTACCTCGATAACTCCGGTGACAATCTGGAGAGCAGCAAACAACTCTACTAAGCCTCCGGGATACCTGTATCTGCACACATGGTGCAGGGAGTAAAGTGAGTACTCCGACTCAGTGAGTAATAGCAATAAATAACAACTGAAAATAAGAAATCTCGTAAAAACACTACACAGTTCTATATCATAACAGTAGGTGCAGTAGACAGCAGCTAAATGAAGAAGAACAGGTGAATATCCCTCAAACCAGTGCACAATTCATTTATTCCTCTCAATGTCCGATAATTTACTCGTACTGCTGCGGCGTGCAGCCCTATATATACTGTTGCGGCGTGCAGCCCGATCCAATAATAATAGTCGACTGCGCTCACTGGGGGTGTGCAGACTCCGGAGGGGCTCCTACAGCCCAAGCGCTATAATACTGCGGCGTGCAGTCCGATCCATATAATATATCACTGCGGCGTGCAGTCCGATCCATATTATATATCACTGCGGCGTGCAGTACGATCCTTATATGTATATATATACTGCTGCGGCGTGCAGCCCGATCCGTATATATCAAATACCCTCATTATGGGGTCCCTGACCCCTCTCAGTCAATATAGACTTGGCCTCTCGGGCCCACTCAGCTAAGGCAGGGTTTCCAACCCCAGGTATTCCTCATTTGGATTGCCAATTTCTAAAGCCGGTTCATATTATGTTTAACAATTAAGAACATGACTGAGGGTATGATTTCGACAAGTAGAGTGAGGTCAACTAGTACAAAATACCCCCTAAGGGTTCTACAGATCGGCACAAGGCCCCAAACATGGCAACTAGCCCAGAATATACTGATATTAATTAAGTCTCAGTCAAAAATACAGTAGAGTCATCAATCGGGATGGACCGAGTCCGAATCCCCAACAGTAACAAACCCCACGCTCATCATACAGCGTGTGTCTCATCTCAACATAGCACCACATAGTGCAAATCCGGGGTTTCAAACCCTCAGAACATCATTTATAACCATTACTCACCTCAAGCCGGCCGAAATCCTAGCTCGCTTTGCCCTTGCCTCGCAAATCAACCTCCTCGTGCGTAGAATCTGGTCAAAACCACAAGGAATACATTATAATAGGCTAAGGGAACATAACCCAATCGAAAAGACTCGAAAATTATCAAAAATCACGAAGTTGGCAAAACCCGAGCCCCGGGCCCACTTCTCGAAAAATTACAAAATTTACATCACCGGATTCCTCGTCTCGCCACGAGTCTATACATATCAAATTTACCAAAATCCGAGCTCAATTGCTCCCTCAAATCCCAAATTTTCATTTCAAAAGTCAAGCCCTAGTTCTTCCAATTTTACTCAAATTTCCATGAATTTAAGGGTTGATTCTTCAATAAAATGATGTTTCTAAGCCATAGGACTCACCTCCAATCGATTCCCAGTCAAAACCCTCTTTAAACCTCGTCAAAAGCTCTCAAGGATACTCAACAATGGTGGAAATGGGACTTGGTTCGCGGATGAAATGTTATTAAAAACCCTTCTGACCAGCTATAATTTCTTCTATGCGATCGCGGCCCTAGGCTCGCGATCGCGATGAGAAAATTCCCAAGGCTTCAAAAATGTTCTATGCGAACGTGACAGGGGCTCCGCGATCGCGATGCTTCACTTTCCAAACCTACGCGAACGCGGCTCATGAGATGCGAACGCGATGAATAAAATATGCTGGCCCCAAAATCCTCTTATGCGAACGCGGGCTATACCACGCGAACGCGAAGCTTCCGCTTCCAATGCTATGCGAACGCGTCCCAATGGCTGCGATCGCGAAAGCCAAATCCCCTCTGCAATAACTGCTGAAAACCTGCAACTTTTAAGAGCCAAACTTGGTCCAATTGACCATCCGAAATCACCCCGAGGCCCCCGGGACCTCAACCAAAAGCACCAATACATCCTAAAACATCATTCAAACTTGTTCCAATCATCAAAACACATCAAACAACGCTCAAACCATTAAATTACCTCGGATTCAAGCCTAAGTTTCTTAAAAACTTCCGAAATACGCATTTGATCAAAAACCCAACCAAACACCTCCGAATGACCTAAAATTTTGCACACACATCCAAAATCACCTAACGAAGCTACTACAACTCTCGGAATTCCATTCCGACCCCCGGATCAAAATCTCACCTACCAACCGGAATTCGCCAAAATACTAACTTCGCCAATTCAAGCCTAATTCTACACCGGATCTCCAAAATCAATTCCGATCGCACTCCTAAGTCACAAATCATCCCCCGAAGCTAACCGATTCACCGGAAATCACATCCGAGCCCTCTAACTCAATAGTCAACATCCGGTTGACTTTTCCAAAACAAGCCTTCCTCAAAGAAACTAAGTGTCTCATTACCATCTAAAACCAAACCAATTCGACTCGATCACATCAAATACCGACAATGAAGCATAGAGAAACATAAGATGAGGGAAACGGGACGGTAACTCACGTGACGATGGGCCGGGTCGTCACATCCTCCCCAACTAAAACAAATGCTCGTCCTCGAGCGGGTCAAGAAACATACCTGGAGCTATAAATAGGTGAGGATATCTGCTCCGCATCTCCCGCTCGGTCTCCCAAATAGCCTCCTCCATGGGCCGACCTCTCCACTGCACCTTCACTGAAGCTATATCCTTTGATCTCAACTTCCGAACCTGACGACCCAAAATAGCCACTGGCTCCACATCATAGGTCAAATCATCATCCAACTGAACAGTGCTGAAGTCCAATACATGAGACGGGTCCCCAACATACTTCCGGAGCATAGATACATGAAATACCGGATGCACGCTCGACAAGCTGGGTGGCAAAGCAAGCTCATAAGCCACCTCCCCAATCCTCCTAAGTACCTCAAAAGGCCCAATGAACCGCGGACTCAGCTTCCCTTTCTTCCCAAACCGCATAACACCCTTCATGGGCGAAACCTTCAGCAAGACCTTCTCACCTACCATATAGGACACATCCCGAACCTTCCGATCCGCATAACTCTTCTGACGCGACTGTGCTGTACGAAGCCTCTCCTGAATCAACTT